ACACACACACACATATATATCTGTGTGTGTGTGTGTATATATGTGTATATATATATGTATATTAATATATATATTTATATACAGTATATATGTATATTTATGTGTATATTTATATATATATGTATATTAAAATATATTATATATATGTATATATATGTATATATATGTATATATATGTATATATATATATATATATATATATATATATATATATATATATATATATATATGTATATATATATATATATATATATATATATATATATATATATATATATATATATATATATATATATATATATATATATATATATAATGTATGTATGTATATTCATGTATATATGTATATTTATATATATGTATGTATATTCATGTATATATGTATTCAATATTTTGAATAGTCATTGATTTTATATCTCAAGGTAATATGTTATTACTAATTTCATAGTTTGATAGTATTTTCTAAAACTAGTATTTTCTAATGTTCAAGGAAACTTCCTTAATGAAAAGGTTGATTTTTATTTATTGATTAATTTTTTTTCTTTCTTTCTTTTTTTATTAGATGTTTTATTAGTTTTTTTTAAAAACATAACTAATTCTACTGTAAATAGAAATTATTACAAATTAGTTTTCTAATATATGAAAATGTAGTTGATCACAATCACATTTAGGATACAGTTTCAGGATGAATGGTCAATTCTAATTAGACAGATCAGTGATAAAACTAGCCAGATTATTATTATTATTATTTTTAATTAATTAATTTTTTAATTTTTTTATTTATTTATTTATTTAGGTATCGTGTACCTCAACGAGAGATGGAAAGGAGAGGAGGTGACCGCACACAGCCACTGAGAACTCCAACAATGGCAGGCGGTTTGTTCTCCATTGACAAGGAATACTTTGAGAAAATTGGACGCTACGATGAGGGAATGGACATCTGGGGAGGAGAGAATTTGGAGATGTCCTTCAGGGTATGTTGAGGATTCGGATTTTTGTTGAGTTAAGGAGATTGGTTCATGAGACTTTTTGTTCCATGTTTGTAAGAGGAACTATTTTTTTTTTTTGCAGAATAATTCAAGGGAAGTATTTAGAGAAAGAGATGAAATGAATTTTGTAAATAGCGTAGACCCATACAGATTTTGTTAGTGTGAAGTAAAGGAAAAAGTCATCCAGTAATGTAAATGTGGTACTTATTTTTATATTTGTGATATATGTGAACCATACAGTTTTCATATGAATTAATATCAATATCAGTGAGAAGTGAGATCTTGCTAAAAGTTGCATATGCAGTAAATGATAGTATTTTTATTTCTATGAAAGTAGATTTAATGCTATTTGATAATCATGCTTACCATCTCATAATTATTCATAACTGTATAATATTGACGTGTACTGCAATGAATTGTAGAAGATTTTCATGTTGACAGATATCTACTTTTCTAATCATGTGTATGAAAAGGAATATTATTTAACATTAAATTAAGAGATATGTTGGTAGAGAATGAAAATGGGCAATTAACTGTAACTTCATTACAGATGAGATGTATTTCATCAAAACATGTATATCAACAATTCTTAATTCTTAGATTTTATTAAAAAATCATGTATTTTACAAGTGTACACAATACTTTTTAAAAGAATGGTTGAATATGACTTTACTGTCATAAAATCTTGTTATATTTTAAAGACACATGATTTTTTTTGTATATATGTACAACGTTCTGAGTATCTTTACGCAATTTCATGGGTGAAACTGGTATATTCCTTGTTCAAGAAAATCTTAGAGTTACCTTGATAATGGTGGTGTTCAGATTTGGCAGTGTGGAGGCACCCTTGAAATCATCCCCTGCTCACATGTGGGTCACGTGTTCCGTGACAAGTCACCCTACTCATTCCCTGGGGGTGTGGTCAACGTCGTCATGAAGAACTCTGCCCGTGTGGCTGAAGTCTGGATGGACGAGTGGAGAGACTTTTTCTTTGAGATGAACCCAGGTACCCTCCATTTGCCACCTGCAGACAGACACATCGAACCTCCGCCAATTCCCCGTCCCCCAATCCACGTTTTTCTCCCATTTATTTCTCAGTTCACTCCTCACCCATCTCTCTTACCCATTACCCTGACAGCTCAGTGATGACCCCACAGTGACTCTCCTCTTACCAGACAGAACTACTAGGCACAAGGGTCATCATACTGTGTTACTTTTACTAACACTCCTTTTGCAGGGTTGCAATGAAGACGTTGTACCCATGCCTCTCAGCTGCTAACATGTCCTACGCGAGATAGCATCCTCTTTAGATTCTTTGCACTATAAGATTGTTACTTAACAATATAAAGGAATTCCTTCATGAAGCAAGTATATTAAAGAACAAGTATAAATGCTTCATGTGCCAATGTTAATTTTTATCTCTGAAAATAATAACAGATTTGTATAGACACAGAATAATATATAATGCTACATGAATTGGAATTAACAGAAATGAAAGAATAATGTATACACTGCATGTTTTTATTTGGTGCAAGTGATATTAGTTATTAGAACTAAAAATGTACAGGGTAATAGGTAATGCAGTACATAATACAGTATCTACAGCATTTTGGATAGATAGTAGTAATTTAGAAATGAGATCTGTACTTGAATCTAGTATCCAAAATGCTTTAGACATGTTTACTAACACAGTGAAAACATTGGTAATGGATGTGTAAATATAATCTGTAATAAAATAACATTTCATTCCAACAGATATAATAAATGGTGATAGGACTTTTAGGATTTTTTCACAGTATGTGCAGTAGTTAACTTGTCTGCAGATCATTTATAATGCCCTGGATATTTTTAGTAATTAATTTCTTGCATTTCAGTATTACCTATGATAAGATATGCAGACATGTATAACTTCAGACATGAAGGTTGATCTTTGTCACAGTATTAGAGGAATGAACCTTGGCAGGGAGGATTAATAAAAGTAGCAGCTTTGGGAGGTGTTGGACTTTTAGTTTTACATGCTTAGCCAGAGCCTGGACTCTCTAGGCACGTGGGTCAGTGGCTAAAAACATTCTTACCAATCACAGTGTAGAAAGTAGCCATCACCAGCACTGCTTGGCTCACCTGTGGATGAATCAATCCCCTGCAGGTGTGGATGTGTGGGGGTACGCTAGAGATCGCCACTTGCTCCCATGTCGGGCATGTGTTCCGCAAGTCAACCCCGTATACGTTCCCTGGGGGCACTTCCAAAATTGTAAACAAAAACAACGCTCGTCTTGCGGAGGTCTGGCTGGACGACTGGAAAGAATTCTATTACAGCATAAATCCAGGTCAGGCTGCACACTTGCCTCCACTCAGGTCACACGCACTACCCCAAATTTAGTTCCTTCCACTTGAGGACATCTGTTTATGCATGTTTCTGATGAGTGAGTGAAAAAGTAAGTTATACAAGGAAAACTAGTATGAGGATAAGGTTATTGATGGTGAATATGAAGTGTTCTGGAAGCCATGGACTGGATGTGTTTCTTTTTCTTTGGCATGCTATGAGTGAGGACAAATATTTGCACTTGGGACATTTTGCTTCACTGCAATTATTATTATTATTTTTTTTAATCTTTTATGTTTCTATGGTATGTGTAATTGTCCAGAATGTATTGTGTGAAAGATTTACTGAGAATAATCACAGAAGTTAGATAAGGATTTTGAATCTGCTACTGTTGTTGAAATCATTATTGAAAATAAGTGAGAAAATTCAAAACACTGGATTATTAAAATCATGAGAACAGATTAGTAGCCATTGTAGATAGTCAGGCTCCACACATAGTATATATACTTCAACTTCTTTTCTAGATCACAGTTCCATTACATGTTTATTTTTTTTATACATGCAATGAAGTGAATGTATGTTTAGTTATATATATTCATATGTACATTCATAATAACATTAATGGATTGCATATTTTTCTCTTTATACCAGTAGAGATTTACCAATGAATAGGTGTAGAATTCTTAATCCATTAGTATTGGGAGTGCATGCATACATTCACTGTTCATTTATGTTGTTATTATTTTTTTATGCACAATTGGGACCAGAAGGGGGCTTAGTCACTTAAAAATCATTACTAGTCCTACCGACCTGGCTGACAGTGACGATGAGGATGTTAATGATAATGTTAATGCTAAATGATAATGATAATAATAACATTAGTAATAGAAATAATGAAAATAAAAATATAAAAAATGGTGGTGATAATGATGTTGAATTAAACTGAATTTTATCTCGCCTTCATTTCCTACGTATAATTATCTCTCACATATCAGTAAATTGAAATCAATAATAATGGTAATAAAAAATTGTGATATTATTATTATTATTATTATTATTATCATTATCATTATTATAAACAGATTAGTAGCCATTGTAGATAGTCAGGCTCCACACATAGTATATATACTTCAACTTCTTTTCTAGATCACAGTTCCATTACATGTTTATTTTTTTTATACATGCAATGAAGTGAATGTATGTTTAGTTATATATATTCATATGAACATTCATGATAACATTAATGGATTGCATATTTTTCTATTTATACCAGTAGAGATTTGCCAATGAATAGGTGTAGAATTCTTAATCCATTAGTATTGGGAGTGCATGCATACATTCACTGTTCTCTTTTGTTGTTATTATTTTTTTATGCACAATTGAGACCAGAAGGGGGCTTAGTCACTTAAAAATCATTACTAGTCCTACCGACCTGCCTGATAGTGATGATGAGGATGTTAATGATAATGTTAATGCTTAATGATAATGATAATAATAACATTAGTAATAGAAATAATGAAAATAAAAATATAAAAAATGGTGGTGATAATGATAATGGTGACATCAATAATAATGGTAATTAAAATTTGTGATATTATTATTATTATTATTATTATTATAATGATAATAATATCATCATTATCATTATTTTCATTATTATTATCACAACTGTAACCAGAATATATAGT